AAATAATCACTAGGGCAATTTCAGAATAGCTATTTCAAGAAGACATAAAGTTAACTTCCTAGTTGAAATAATTTGGGGGGGGGGGGAAATGTACACTGTCTACATAGAGCTAAAAAGGGACACAAAAAAGGTTTCTATTCCAAAGTAACAGTTCAGAAATAACTAGCAGTCGTGACCTAGGCTTTCCATTTTTTGTTTGTTTTGTTTTGTTAAGGCATTCATCTAGAAAGAGAAAGAAGTTGATAAAGTAGATTAAGAGTGAGAAAGTTCCTTAGGTTTACTTTTTTTTCTTTTCTAGAAACCCCTAATAAAATAGATTATGGTCAAGAGATGACTCCAGGAGGGAGATAGGATTGCCTAACTTAACTGCTATTTCCGTTTCCCCCCACCCCTCCCCCCCCTTTAATCCTGAGAAGAAAAACAAAGGTCAAATGGCCCAAAGCACCAACTCAGAAACAAAACATGCAGGGGCAAGCTTTTTTTAAGTTAAAAAAATAAATAAGCAGCACTGGTCTTTTGCTTTTTGTTTTTGTTTTTTATTCAAAGCCTGGGAACAGTGGGAGAAAAACAGCTACTGTCAAAGTATTCCTGAATACAAAGCACAGAGATAAGGGGAAAAAAGTATCTCTCTTACGTTTGTTTAAATTCAACAAATATACATAAAACAGGCACAATGTGTCAAAGATTTTCTGAAGCATAGCTTTAAGTAATAATTAAATTAGGAAAAAAAAAAAAAAAAGATGGAGGAAAAAGAGACTGACGTTTGCAACACTAGCCAGAACTCACAAGCAGAAAAGAGTGAGAAGTCCAGGAATCTGCAGTCTTTCTGTAAGTTTCTGCTGCAACTGACCAGCCAAGAAACCAAATAACTAGTATGAGGATACCTCCGGCTGCCATACAAAGATCTTTCGCAATAGTATCTCTACACAAGAAACCAAGCTATTATCATTCAACAAACATACACTGAGGGTTTATTGCTACTGCACTCTGTTTTTGATATTTGAGGGGGATACAGAAGCTGAGGACTCAACTGAGATCTATTATACCTAAATTTATAATTTTAAATCATATTTTAATGCCTGTATGATTAATAATCATCCACCTAGTAATCATCCAGATCGAGAAACTCCCACTTTAGGAGATGCAAAAATGACTAAGACAAGAAGTCATGTCAAGAAGCTCACATAAGTGACAGTCAAATAAAGGGATTTCTCAGAAAACAAAGCTAAAAATAAAACATGCTATGAGAGGGAGAAATTCTTTGCTGTGGACATTCAAAGGAAGGAGAAACTGTGTTCTCTTGGGAGCTCCAGACAGAAGGAAGGAGGGCCTCAGAGAAAGAGGTATATTTGTGTTAGGATAATTACCATTCGAACATGTACAGAAGAAGGAAAAATCTACTATTAAACTAGTAAGAAGAAGAAGTATGTTTATTTCTTATTATGTTATATCTCCAGTGTTTAGTGAGAAATAGGACACTTTACCTAAATCTTCTCTTAAACCTAGCCTAAACCAATCAGATAAGTCCTATTATTTCCCCATGTTGCAGATGGGAAAAGCAAAGCTCAGAAAGTTTACATAATTTTCTCACAGTCAAGCAGCCAAAGACTGAGGAACTAAAAGTTCAATTCCAGATCTATCCCATTCTAGAACCTACCCACCACCTAGAGAATAAACAAAGCCCAGATGTGCAAAAGTATCAAATACACAAAACAAATACACAAAACATCCATTGCCCCCTCTAGCTGGAAGGAGGCAGAGAGGGGAATATAGGGCCAGGAAGGTTAGGCGGGAGCCGGGCTATGGATACTGGATTCAACTATGTGGGCTTTATCAGGCAGCAAGGGGAAACCACTAAAGGTTTCTGAGCAGGGAATACTATAATGAAAGTTCTATGTTAGGCTTTGGGCTATGACTGATGAGTCGTATCTAACAATCTGAAATGATAAAAATCAAAGTTTGAAGAGTCTCACCCTGCATTTAAACAAAAAGGTGTGGCTAGACACCAAGTGGGACTACTGCCTCATAGCTGTCCAGACAAATTCCCAACATGCCAGTTCTTAAGGAACATTCTACAGAGCAGTGCTTAAGATAAATGCAGTGAGTGTCTGTTATACCCCAGGACAAGGACCTACTCATCCCTGGAGCTGTCCAAATCTGGCAGAAGGATAGCCCTGGGGACTGCAGGATGCCGGGGGACCTAAGGCGACCCCAGCGGGCAGCAGGCACAGCACAGGCATGGGCATTAGTTATCCACAAAGCCCAGACTCCTGATTCTCAGTCCTGTGCCCATTTCATCAAATCCTATTGCCTCTGCCATTAAATATGTAACACTTATGTGGGCCCCTTTCCCTCTCGGGTTCTCCCTTTCCCCAGCTGCGAAATGAAAAACTGGACTTGATGGGACTCAGATTTTGCAACCCATCTTCCTCTCCAACATACTGGTATAAAAAATCTGCTTCCATCAGTGGCTCACCAGCTGGGATATGGTAGAGGAACAGCAGCTCCTGAGAGCTTCTATAGTTGGTAAATCCTGACCTGAGAAGAACGGTACTTCCTTATCTCTAGGAAGCCCACTAGTTCTGACCATATTATAGGCTTCATGGTTCTCAAATTCTGGTTGTGAACTTGCCATTGAATTCAGTCTGGCCCAGGACTCTCCTTTTCAAGTGCAGCCTGGTTCACTGAAGTCAAAAATAATTCAACACCATGAAGGGCCACACTCATATCCAGGCACATGCAGAGAACTCCTCATTCTATCATCAGCGAGTAAGCACTTCTGGACCCACACTTGTCAGAGCCTGAGCATACTTTGTTATTATTTGAGAGTTTTGTTTTACTCTCAAAGGATGGCGTCTGCATGCATGGGTGCATGCGTGCGTGCGTGCATATGTTTATGATTAAAATTCCCAGGAAGCCAAGCAGAGACTGAACTTGTGGAGTTCTTGGGAGAAGGGAGGGAGGAACCATGTTACACCTTATTACACATTCACAGAGACACCCCTACAAACTCCAGCCATCAAAAATGAATCTCCAAAGAAACACAAATATCTCCCCAAGAGATTATCAGTTATGTAGATCCAAGAAACTTTGCTTATTAGAGTAGAGGTGAATAGGGAGAAGATACGTGTTCCGTTCTCAGAAACACTGCTGATAAAACAGAAATTAGCACACAGGTTCATCTTTTTGAGAGAACTTCTTAAACTTCATTGGTTGATCCGTCACACCCAACAGTTCACCCACAGAGGTGCCCAGGAGTAGCTGATTCCTATGATCAATTCACCGCAAAAATGTGAGGCGTGTCAAACCTATAGCTTCACCATTTTGACCCTCCAGCCAGGGGACTGAAGCAGAATGACTGCTAAACGTGACATTAACAGCGATGCAGGCTTCATTGGAGAACCAAAGAAACCGACATTTCAAAAGTTACCTCATGGTTATTTATTTTTATAGGGCTGGAGACGAGTACGCGTTCCTTCTCCAGACGCGAGAAAGGAAAATCTCCCCAAGGTGTGTGACAGAAGTATCTCCCCAAGGTGGGGGACTGCCAACCTCACATCTGAGATTCCTGGGAAGACTGTGCTATGGGGACCAAACTGGACCACCCACACATTCTATTCTGGGAACTGGCTCAGTTTATCTTCAGCTGTCAGGTACTTAAGGTCTCTTCCCTCTCTGCTATTGACTGATTTCTCTAAGACCACCAAAAATCATGCCATTCATCCGAAAGAAAGTAGATTTATACTTCATGCATGCTTTAGCAAATTCCTCAAGAAGCACAAGCAAGCAGAAGACAAATCTTGGAAAGGATTCAGGCTTTATCCTTATTTCTTACCCAAGATATTAGTCTAGTGGACTCCAGCCCCTTAGCCATAGCACTGGTAGTCTCAGTTGTGATTTCCTGAACTCCACAAACAACTGCAAATCTCCAGAGAGCCCTTCCCACAAGAGCACAGACCTTGTGGGATGGTGTTCACATGGATGTACATGGTGTCTATTTTTGCCACCCTAGAAATTCAGCCTCGTCTACCGGCTAACAGTAAGGGCCAACCCACAAAGCCGTCACTTCAACAGGTGTAGAAGAGACACTGACACCTTGACATAAAAAGCCAGAAAGTGGGGGACGGAGGAGAAAACTATAAGTTCAGAGTGTCATGGATGGTGTCCAGAAATAGCCTAAATTCTCTGCTGAAGCGTCCAGATAGATGGTCAAAATTGTGGATGTGGATAAAATGCCCACATACACCGTATACTGCCGACACTAACTTCAGGCAGGTTGAATACACACAAATAAAACCCAAAGGAGAGTACTGGGCATCTGACGTCAAATAACTCACTCCAGTGCTTACCTCCAGAAATCAGAAGCCCTCTGTAAAAGGAGAGTAAGTCAGCACTTTGGGTAGATACTTTTAGTCAGATTGCCTCACACAGATTCACCTCTTCAGTACCTGCTCTTTAACTTTTGATCTTTACTGCTTTGTAGGTGCAGGGGGAAATAGAAGAAAATAAATTTGTTTCAGAGCAAGGCAACTTTTAACTTTGTTGTTCTGAGGTTGTTTTCTTTTAAACTTCAGAGAAAAGCTGCAGACTGGGTGTACACGAGGGATGAGTGAGTGGAGACGGAAGAGAAATGGGGGTGAGGTTGGATCAAGAAACGAAGGGAGGGAAGACCTTATACTAGACCCGGCTGTGCCAAAGTCTCAAAAATTAGCGTGGGATGGGTCCTTGAAACCTCATAGTATCAATGCTGTCCTCTTTTGGAGAGACAAGTTGATGCCAGTGGAGCTAATGGCTTGCGCCCGGTTCATCCATCTAGTGTTGGTTACACACCCTGGGCCACCAGATACCTAGATGCACAAACAGAAGACAGACAGGCAAAAGGAGACGCGCGCAGAAAGGTTAAGGAGCAGAGAGCGCCGGCCAAGGGACAGGGGCCGTGGGGGAGGGCTCGAGAGAGCGTCCCGGAGCCGCAGGGGGCGTTAGGTGCGCGCTCTGGGTACCTTGATGTAGGCCCGCTGCAGGTAGTTGTAGGGCACTCTGCGCTGGAAGTCGCTGCGCACATCCTCGCTGACGCGGTGGCGGGACGCGGGGCCCCCGAGGCGCTGGGTCTGGCAGCTGCGGTAGCAGCGCGCCCGCTCCAGCAGCGCGCGGAAGAAGGGCAGCTCGGCCGCGGGGCCGGCGC